TGAAGTAAGGAAAGACATTATCTTGCCTATAACCATAGCAGAATGTACTGCTCTAAAAAGGGTAGAGCTTCCATTCTGTATTGCTCATGCATCAAATTAACTAGTATTGTCTTCATTGACTTGATAATGGGTTCCAGATCTTCTGGCCTGATAGTAGCCTTTCAGGCTGTTCCTATATTGTATCATAAGTTAAAGAGAGAGAGAGAGAGAGAGGTTATAATGATTTGCCATAGGAATACTACCATCCTTTTAAGGGATTATTTCATGCTGGCTCCAGTATATTTTTCCAAATTGTTCCTTAATATCAGGCATATTGCTGGTGTCAGACAAAATATTACTGCATTTCTTTTGTTTGTGTTTGTTTTAAAGTATTGCGTTTTTACTTTCAAAACACCCACTCACACTGACATAGCCATGTAATACAAATGCAAATTACACTGATTTACTTATCAAAAATTTTGGGAAAAAGTATTAACATCTGTTAACTTTTGTACCCACAATAAAACGTTTCTATGTTTTTTAATGTTAACATTACAAAATAAATGTCATGCAGCTTATTTTTTTTAATCCTGTGTCTTATAAAATGGTTTCCTGTACTTAAAATGAAGGGGCATATCAAGCAATTCTTTTTATTGGCTTTATAGTAGATCTCATACCAGCAAACCATTCTCTTAGTACAGGGGCTAGTAAACAAACTTTCACACATATAAGCATGAATCATTTTACAGACTTGAGTGTGTGTGTGTGTGTGTGTGTGTCTGTGTGTGTTTTGGTGATTGCAGAATATTAGTTTGAGCTGAAAATGTTTTGTGTGATTTGCTAACAAAAAAATTATTTCTGAAAAGTTTTCTCTGTTAATTCCAGTCAGCCAGTAAGCATTTATATTAATATCTGAAGAGTACTATCCTTTGTGTCAAAGGGTGTTCAGAAAGGAAGGGAAATTGGAAGAAAGGGATTCCTTATGCAAAATTTTAGGAATAATTGGAGCATCTTTCTAACAAATGTAGCATATGAAAAGAAGGTCTGCCTAAATGACAGGTTTCAATTAGTTCCATGGGAAGTAATTTGTTAGATTATTAGTTAGATTTTAAATGCTACCTAGATTCAAACACGAAACATAAGAGCTAAATCAATTCTGATGCTTCAGTTCAATGTGTGTGTATGTATGTGTGTGTGTGTATGTATGTATATATACATGTATATTTATTTGGTGTGGTAAGGTGCAGAGTTTGTCAGAGTCCTCCAACACATGCCTTTTAAACATTAACGCGCTTTGTCAGGGGGGTGTGTGTGTGTGTGTGTGTGTGTGTATTTCCAGTTCCTTACATTTGTTTTGTATTCCACTCACATCTAGCTACTCAGTCATATTGTGCTAGGTCAGACCTACTGATGGGGTGGAAGAAAGGGGAGACAAAGGGAGCAATTGCCCCAGGGCGCAGTGATTCAAAGGGGTCCAGGGCAATAACAGCATTAGCAACTCCCAGAGCCCCAAGTCATTTAAATTGTTGCCCGAGTGCCAGGTGGCTCTGAGGGCTGAATGGGGGCCAACCTGATGCGCTCTGAGCAGTGCAGAGAGCTGATTGCCCTGGCCCTGCCTCTTCCACCCAAGGCCCCGCCCCTTTTGCCCAAAGCCCCGCCCCTTCCAAGAGCATGAAGCCAGCTCCTCCCCACTTGGCCCAGGGACACGCGGAGGCTGTCAGCACCCCTGCGCTAGGTACTCCACACATGTATAGCAAATAGACATTTAGTGCCCTAAAGAGCTATTAAGATCCACGAAGCATTCATTACCAGCCAGAGCTATGCTTGGTCCAGACCCAAAGAATTCATAAAATGTCCAGTAAATATCCACTTGTGGCACCTCGGTTCTGTTTTGGAGAGGAAGTTTTTCCACACTTTCAGGGTATCTCTGAAATTAAACCATTCATAGACTCATAGAAATTGAATGGAAAAGATCTATTAGGTCATCTAAACGAGTGCCTGTCAGTTCAGGATTGTTCCCTATGGTATATTTGCTGCTGCTTTGTTCATTCTTGCATTAAATTTCCCAAAGATATAGGCTTCTACCACTTACCGTGGGAAATTTTCTACAGTTTCATAAATCTCACTATCAGGACTTTTTCTGATGATTTTCTTTCTCTTTTTCCTTTTCCTGTATTTCACACTATAACTTCTATTTATATTCTGTTGTGCTACCCTATTTCTTTTCCGTACTTTGGAGGCCAATGCTACCCTTAGAGGGAGGCATTTCTGAAGCAGAATGTAGCAGTACATTAAGAATGCGGAACACCTTCACAAGAGGTGAAGAATAGCATATCTAATTGGCTGCCATATGACGAGAGATTAATAAGACTGAGATTTTTTCAGCTTGGAAAAGAGACAACTAAAGGGGGATATGTTAGAGATCTATAAAGTCATGACTAAAATGGAGAAAGAGTATAAAGAAGAGTTATTTACTCCTTTCCATAACACAAGAAATAGGGGCCACCCAAATGAAATTAAATAGGTAACAGGTTTAAAAAAAATCAAAGGAAGTACTACTTTACACAATGCAGAGCCAACCTGTGGAACTCCTTGCCAGAGGAGGTTGTGAAGGCCAGAGCTTTATCAGGGTTCAAGAAAGAACTAGATTAAACTTGTGGAAGAAGAGCTCATCAATGACTATTAGCCAGGATGTGTATCATAGAATCATAGAATAATAGGACTGGAAGGGACCTCGAGAGGTCATCGAGTCCAGCCCCCCCGCCCTCAAGGCAGGACCAAGCTCCGTCTACACCATCCCTGACAGATGTCTATCTAACCTGTTCTTAAATATCTCCAGAGAGGGAGATTCTACCACCTCCCTTGGCAATTTATTCCAATATTTGACCACCCTGACAGTTAGGTATTTTTTCCTAATGTCCAATCTAAACCTCCCCTGCTGCACTTTAAGCCCATTACTCCTTGTCCTGTCCTCAGTAACCAAGAGGAACAAATTTTCTCCTTCCTCCTTGTGACACCCTTTTAGATATTTGAAAACCGCTATCATGTCCCCCCTTAATCTTCTTTTTTCCAGACTAAACAAGCCCAGTTCATGAAGCCTGGCTTCATAGGTCATGTTCTCTAAACCTTTAATCATTCCTGTTGCTCTTCTCTGTACCCTTTCCAATTTCTCCACATCTTTCTTGAAATGTGGCGCCCAGAACTGGACACAGTACTCTAGCTGAGGCCTAACTAGTGCAGAGTAGAGCGGCAGAATGACTTCACGAGTTTTGCTTACAACACACCTGTTGATACAACCTAGAATCATATTTGCTTTTTTTGCAACAGCGTCCCACTGTTGACTCATATTCAACTTGTGGTCCACTATGACCCCTAGATCCCTTTCCGCCATGCTCCTTCCTAGACAGTCGCTTCCCATCTTGTATGTATCGAACTGATTGTTCCTTCCTAAGTGGAGCACTTTGCATTTCTCTTTATTAAACCTCATCCTGTTTACCTCTGACCATTTCTCTAACTTGCTAAGGTCATTTTGAATTATGTCCCTATCCTCCAAAGAAGTTGCAACCCCACCCAGTTTGGTATCATCTGCAAACTTAATAAGCGTACTCTCTATCCCAATATCTACATCATTGATGAAGATATTGAACAGTACGGGTCCCAAAACAGACCCTTGCGGAACTCCACTTGTTATCCCTTTCCAGCAGGATTTAGTACCGTTAACAACAACTCTCTGAGTGTAGGGATAGTGTCCCTAGCCTCTGCTTGCCAGAAGCTGGAAGTGGGTGATGGGATGGATCACTTGATTACTTGTTCTGTTCATTCCCTCTGGGCACCTGGCATTGGCCACTGTCAGAAGACAGTATACTGGGATAAATGGACCTTTGATTCTACCCACTTAATTTCCATGTTTAATTTCAGGGGCAGTTTAGTCAGGCAGAATATAAGCACTCAAGATAGAATTTGACCAGGGCACAAGGCCAAGCATCTTCTGTTCTTGAAAAAATTGTCATGGGCTTTCATGAGCAGGTCAGGATTTTTTTTTTCACATTTCATCTGAAACATGAGGCCACTACCGCTACCATGTCCCCTTAGTAGACTAGAGTATGACTAAAGGAATGACTTGGATGGGAAAGTTTTATGTACTGAATCCAGCACTGTTTCCTGAAGCACCTAATTGTTCCTAGGCGGTCTCCCATCCAAATACTGATATAGCCCAACCCTGCTTAGAATTTGAGAAGGTAGAATTATGGCACAATATAATATAGTCGCAGGCTATAAGGAGGTTTCCTTCATTAGTTTTCATTTTTGCCTCTTGTCTTGTTTTTACCTCACATCCTTTGTTAGGATGTTATATTTCATAGCAGTCAAACCCTAATTGGTGACGTTGAACATGCAAAATTATGAATGAAGGTCAAAGATGGGGGTAAAATTGGTTTCTTTAAAATAATG